GGTGCTGAGAAGAAGATATATTCCTTTGTTTTAGGATGAAATGTTCTATAGATATCTTTTAAATCTATTTAGTTCGTAACTTCTGTTACTTTCTATGTGTCTCTGTTTAGTTTCTTTTTCCATGATCTGTCCATTGCTGAGACTGGGGTGTTGAAGTCCCCCACTATTATTGTGTGAGGTGCAATGTGTGTTTTTAGCTTTAGTAAAGTTTCTTTTATGAATATGGGTGCCCTTGCATTGGGAGCATAGATGTTCAGAATCAAGGTAGATTTTTCCTTTGACGAGTATGAAGTGTCCGTCCTTATCTTTTTTGATAACTTTTGGTTGAAAGTCAATTTTATTCAATATTAGATTTGCTACTCCAGCTTGTTTCTTGGGACCATTTGCTTGGAAAATTGTTTTCTATCATTTTACTCTGAAGTAGTGTCTGTCTTTGTCACTGAGGTCTATTTTCTGTATGCAGCAAAATTCTGGGTCCTGTTTACATCTCCAGTCTCTTAGTCTATGTCTTTTTATCGGGGAATTGAGTCCTCTGATGTTAAGAGATATTAAGGAAAAATGATTATTGCTTCCTGTTATTTTTGTTATTAGTGATTAAATTATGTTTGCGTAGCTCTCTTCTTTTGAGTTTGTTGGAAGGTTACTTTCTTGCTTTTTCTAAGTTGTAGTTTCCCTTCTTGTATTGGAGTTTTCCATTTATTATCCTTTGTAGGGCCGAATTTATCAGAAGATATTGTGTAAATTTGGTTTTGTCATGGCATATCTTGGTTTCTACACCTATAGTGATTGAGAGTTTTGCTGGGTGTAGTAGCCTGGGCTGGCATTTGTGTTCTCTGAGGGTCTGTATGATATCAGTTCAGGATCTTCTGGCTTTTATAGTCTCTGGTGAGAAATCTGGTGTAATTCTTATAGGTCTGCCTTTATATGTTACTTGACATTTTTCCCTTACTGCTTTTAGCATTTTTAATTTGTTTCATGCATTTGATATTTTGATTATTATGTGACAGGAAAAATTTCTTTTCTGGTCTAGTCTATTTGGAGTTCTATAGGCTTCTTGTATGTTCATGGACATCTCTTTCTTTAGGTTAGGAAAGTTTTCCTCTATAATTTTGTTGAAGTTATTTACTGGCCCTTTAAGTTGAGAATCTTCACTCTCATTTATACCTATTATCCTTAGGTTTGGTCTTTTCGTTGTGTTCTGGATTTCCTGAATGTTTTGATCTAGGAGCTTTTTGCATTTTGCATTGCCTTTGACTCTTGTGTCAATGTTTTCCATGTTATCTTCTGCACCTGAGATTTTTGTATTGTTGGTGATGCTTGTGTCTATGACTCCTGATCTCTTTCGTAGGTTTTCTATCTCCTTGGTAGTCTCTCTTTGAGATTTCTTCATTGCTTCTACTTCCATTTTTCTATCCTGGATGTTTTTAATTCCTTCACCTGTTTGTTTGTGTTTTCTTGTAATTCTTTAAGGGACTTTTGTGTTTCCTCTTTAAGGACTTCTACCTATTCACCTGTGTTCTCCTGTATTTCTTTAAGGGAGTTATTTATGTTCTTCTTAAAGTCCTCTATCATCATCATGAGAAGTGATTTTAAATCTTAATCCAGTTTTTCCAGTGTGACGGGAGGTCCAGGACTTGCTACGGTGGGAGAACTGGGTTCTGATGATGCCAGTTAACTTTGGTTTCTGATGCTTATGTACTTGTGCTTGCCTTTTGCCATCTAATTATCTCTAGTGCTACCTGCACTCACTGTCTCTGACTGGAGCCTGTCTTTCCAGTTATCTTGCTTGAGTCTGAACTCCTCAAAGTCCAGATTTCTCTTTGATCATGTAACCCTGAGCTCCTGGGTGGAAGAACTCCTAGGACTCAGACTGCCTTTGGGATCCTGAAATCCTGCTGCTCTGAGTATAGTGGTTTCTCCTTGCTCTGAGTGCAGTTGTTCCTCTAAGATGGCTCAGGATATGGTATCTTCATGGGAGCAGACCAGCTAGGTGTCTACTCCAGCCAAATGGACCAAGCAAGGGTCAGAAAAGGAGTGGTATTATAGAGGGGCATGGTTTGGGTGGGTGATGGGTCCTGAGTGTCCCAGGCTCCCAGTTGCAGCTCTGGGGCATAGGGTTGTGCAGTGGTGTTCTTACACACTGCTCTGAGTGCAGTGGTTCCTCTAGGATGGTTCAGGATATGGTGTGGGAGCAGACTAGCTAGGTGTCTGACCCAGTCAAAAGGCATGATGATTTTATCTTAAACTGAAATAAAAGCCTATTGTATTCTACATATAGTTTGCAGCTCTAGTGGCAAGCAGTGAGTATGTTTTATCTACATGTGAATGTAGGTTTATAGTGTAATAAACTATCTACCATATGAAATATCAATGTGTACTCCTCAGAGGAAAAATACAAATTTAGATGAACATGCTAAATTTTGGATATGTTTTATGGAGATTATACTTTACATTATAATATTAAACATTTTCTCTGGGCATAATGGATCACACCTGTAATCCTAGCATTTTAAGAAGTCAAGGCAGTAAGACCAGCATGAGTTCTAGACTACTGTGGCCTACATAATACTAGATAGATTATTCTAGGATAACGGGAGCAACAGATTGAGAATCTAGATTTAAAACTCTGACATATGGAGAAAACAATTAAGTATTCAAGAAAATTTCTCAGTTAAGAGACCTAAAACTTATTTTAACATGGCATGTATTATGAGTCCTCTGTGCATTTTCAAAAAGAATGTTTGAGGTGATAGAATTTGTAATGCTTCATTACAGTACAAATATACCCTAAGAAACAAGAAGAAATGTTCATGTAAAGTAAAACATATTCTTTGGATACTTATTTTTCATAGAAGGACAAGAGTCATAATATCATGTGCTTAGATAATTTATAATTGTGGGCCAGTAAAATGTCCCATTAATCAAAGGTATTTGCTTCCTAGCCTAATGAGTTTGATCTCTAGGTCCTATGTCATGAAAGAATAGAATCAACTCTTGCAAGTTGTAGGGACCTCTGCCTATAGGAGTACACATGCACGTATGTATACACAAACACACACACACACATATGTATATATATTCAAGTATATACAGATACATGAATATAATTAAAAATAAAGCTATCTGTTTTTATTCATGTATTCATTCATTCCCTTTTAAGAAAGGGTCTCATTTGTACAAGGTTGGCTATAAAATCTTGAACTCACTACCTCTACCTCCCAAGTGCTGGGTTTACAGGCACCTACCAACCACCGGACCTGGATATATAATATAATGGATAGATTATTTACCATCTTCTAGATGTTCAATGGTGTGCTTTGTCATGGAGATAGGAAGGATACAAATTGTCTGGAAGATTTATTGGTGGTGTATTGTAAATGCTGACTCTAAGGATAAAATAGAAACTTGTCATGTTTAATGTAAATAGTGGGCAAGGTATAGGAACTTTGCACTTACATCTGGAATAGAAAATTAAATCACAAAGGGAAGAAGCCAGGACAAAGGACTTCCTGGCACAGGAAACCAAAGAATGCATGCAAAGTCAGGGGTGATTAACAAGAGTAAAACATATTTGGAAAAATGGGGGAAAATGATGTAACTCTGTGTCTCTTGGTGATGTCAGAAGCTACCCATAAAGTCTTAACAACATGGATGGATAAACATGAACTAGACAACAGAAATACCAATAGACATGTCAAAGTGGATGGGGAAAACCCATGAGGCCTAAGTTCTACACAAAGAACTACAGGCAACTCTGGAATGCTGACAGCAGGTGAAATTGACTTCTCCAGGGAAAAGTACAGCAATTGTCTATCCAACACCAAATGGTCAGCCCCAAAAAATACATACATACAATCAACATTATACAGATTGATTGAGTAGATTATATTTAGAAATATATACATATACATATGCATTTAACAACAATTCAAGAAAAAAAAAGGGGGGCCATGAATTTGAAAGAAAATTGGGAGAGTTATATGGGAGAGTTTAGAAAGAGAAGGGGCAAATGATATAATTATATTGTAATCTCCAAAATTAAAAATATGCAACTCACAAAATGAAAATGAAACTTAGAGAAGCCAAGTGGCATTTCCAGTGTGAATGATAACTGGTCCTTGTCAGCTCTCACCATGATTGGGCAGATGGGGCAAGCTGATGAATGCCCACATCTTCGAGGGTGGTCAAGGGAAGAGGGTTACTTCATATTCTGTGGGCAGTGGAGGACTGATGAGAAGTCTGAATAAGTGTTCAATGTGATTGTCAGCTCTGTCATTTGCAGAGATAAACCTGGAGAATGAATCATTGAATGGAGGCCTCTAGCCTCATATCCTGATGACAGATAAAGAGATGATAAAATCCAAATATTCCCAGTGTGTCTAAAACGCTGTGGATTGTCTAAGGTAGAATTAGGAAAACTGTTCCATACATTCCATCTTCATGTGTGATAGTGGGGAGTGAAAGAAAAATAATGAACCAGAGCTTCTGCTCTGCTCTGACTATCCGAGTCTCCAGTAATGACCATAGTGGGCACAGGAGCACACCAGGAATTCAGGTTTGGGAAGGATAATGAGGTCAGGCTTAGACGTCTGTGCATTCTTGTCTGTCATGTCCACATTGTCACTTACAGAGCAAGCAACCATTAAAGATTTTAATATAGACCCCTTACCTCTCATCAGAGGAAGATAGAAGGCATGAACCCCTTGGTGCTGTGGAACATGCTACTCCAGGTACCATGTTGACTCATGATAAAAGCCATCACGACAAAAGCTCCTTTGAATTCCTGCTTCTGAGGCATGCCTAATAAAACAGTCAGTGTGACAAACTCCAAAGAAAAATTCCATAAATTAGAAAAATAGGATATAATGGCCATAGATGGCTATGTGATTTGTATTTTTGACTTCCAGAAGATTGTTATCTTCATGCATGATCAAAAGGAAATGAAAATGTACACTCTCCTTCAACACCGATCTGTGTGTATTTCTTGTTTTAATGTGCAGGACAGGAGCGAATTGGAAAAGACTCCAATTATGAGCAGGAAGGTAAAGTGCAGTTTGTGATCGATGCTGTCTATGCCATGGCACATGCCCTTCATCACATGAATAAGGATCTGTGTGCTGACTACCGGGGAGTATGCCCAGAGATGGAGCAAGCAGGGGGCAAGAAGTTGTTGAAGTATATCCGCAATGTTAACTTCAATGGTAAGGCTCTACTGGCCACAGTGTTGGCAATGCTAAGCAAATATCTCCTGTTTCATAAGTTATAGAAATTATATGATGGCTTTGCTATTAACTCAAGTAAGATCAAAATTTAGTTAATTATATACTTTCAACTGATTGAACCAGTGTGAGAATGGTGAAAATGAAACTTAGAAAACAAAGAACTACATACTAGAGGGCTGTGGTATTGTCTTAGTTGGATTTTCTATTGCTTCAAATATACTCCATGACCAAAACACAAGTTGGGGGGAAGAGAGATTATTTGGCTTATACTTCCATATTGTTTATCATTATTGAAAGAAGTCAGAACAAGAATTCAAACAGGGTGGATCCTGGAGGCAGGAGCTGAATGCAGAAGCCATGCAGAAGTGCTGCGTAATGTATTGCTTCCCCAGGTTTGCTCAGCCTGCTTTTTTATAGTACCCAGGAATACCAACACAAGGATGGTACCACCCATAATAGGTTGAACCTTTCTCTATTGAGAAAATGCCTTAAGCTGGATCTCATGGAGGCGTTTTCTGAACTGAGACTCCTTCCTGTCTGTTGACTCTAGCTTGTGTCAAGTTGACCCAAAACCAGGAAGTACAGGTATGTTCTTTTCTTGGAATTTAGGTCTTTTACATGAAGCCATTTTATTTCTTTTAATGAGTGTAGGTGAGAGAGAGAGAGAGAGAGAGAGAGAGAGAGAGAGAGAGAGAGAGAGAGAGAGAGAAGATGGATGGTTCCAGGATCAAAATGGATAGTTCAAATTTTCTATACAAACATCGCAGGTTATGATTTACCATTCAAACTATAAAACCTTGCTGTGAGAAATTACCTAAAAGAGACTAGTAAATGAAAATAGAGAAAATAAGTAAATAGTAAATATTACAGGAAGCATGGAGAGGGGTCTCCAATAATACTTTTCCTACAGTATGAGTCTTTTGATGTCTTTATGCTTTGCATACAAACTTTTAAGGGATTAAATTAAAACTCAATGTATGTGCAATGTAAAATTCAATAGAGTTTGTACCAAATAATTCTACCTATATCACAAATGACCAACAACAACAAAAAAAAACAATTACGAAGAAAAGTATGTACAAGTAATTTGGGGACATAATAAAACTATGAAAGCTAGAAAAACTAGAGACAAAAATAACCATATTCAGGCTTTGCACATGTCTAGTGTCATAGTTAGGCTTTCTACTGCTGTGATACACCACCAAAACCAAAATCAACTTGGAGGAAAAGGGTTTATTTAGATTGTATTTATAGAACAATCCACTGTTCAAGAAAGTGATGGCAGGAACTCAAGTGCAGAATCTGGAGGGAAAGTTTGTACATGAGTGCTGCTTACTGACTTGTTTCCCTATGGCTTGCACAGCCTGCTTTCTTATAAAACACAGGAACACCTCCAAGGGGTTGCACCACCTTCATTTTGCTAGGTCCTCTCATATCAATCATTGATCAAAAAAATACCCTATATGATGTCTACAGGTAATAAGATGGAGGAACCTTCTCAACTGAAATTCCTTTTCTCAGATAAAACTAGCTTGTGTCAAGTTGACAAAAATCAATCAATCAACCAACAATAAAAGTAAACCAGAGAAGCTAGTAAATATGCATTTGGTAGAAGCTCATAATTCTGATGATAGCTTTAGCATAAAATAGAACAGAGAGAATATTAACTACATTATTTGTAAAGGATAAGTGTGTTGGTCAGAGAAATAAATTAATAGAAATTGTGTATGATTAAAATTGCAGAATTGCCAAGCCATGGTGGCGCATGCCTTTAATCCCAGCACTTGGGAGGCAGAGGCAGGTGGATTTCTGAGTGTGAGGCCAGCCTGGTCTACAGAGTGAGTTTCAGGACAGCCAGGGCTATACAAAGAAACCCTGTCTTGAAAAACAAAAAACAAACAAAAAAATTGCAGAATCAACATGAATTCATGTAATATGCAGATAGGTATCAAATAGATATACAAACAGATATGCATATGCATGATGCATGTGTGCCTCATGCTATCTATATCTGTCTACCTAGAGGTCAAAGAGTGATTGATGGCAGCTCAAAATGATATAAGAATACCTAGCACTAAGGTCTTACTAGAAATATGGTTTTCCATCCAAAGAACCAGAACTACATTCAGAAATATATTTTTATTTATGTTCTTCATTTTAAGTAAATAAATAAATATCTAAAGAGAAGAAAATATCTGGCTCGTGCTTTAAAACTACCACATGGCAGGGACCACTCTATAACTCACATCTCTTTCCAATCTGTTATGAAGAATTCAGCCTTCCTTTTGTATAGTAACAAAGATTTTGTCTGTTCTTTTGGTTGTTAAGCATGGTTGTACTTCCCCATAGTTTTGGTAGGAAATTCCATTTACCCCGGGTGCTTTTCTGTAGATGAATAAAGTACACTCCATAATTCTGACCTCCACATTCATAGAAGCATTGTTTGAGTTAATGGTAATAGTATCTGGAAATTATCACCACAACTTCCCCAATTAGGTAGCCTCTTGTGGTGAATGGGAATCAGGTGGGAGCTAATTTAGAGATTGTTTCACCTTTTTCTACACCATGTATACATGCAGAGACCTGAGTACAATCACATTCTAGTTGTCTCTATGTTGATTAGTAGGCCTAAATGGGAAGATTTCTACTGTAACTTTAAAAGTTTAGGATATAAAACTATGAATCACTGTATAATTAATTAGCCTAATCAAGACTACACCTTTATCTAGACTTACTGATTCCTAGCAAAGAAATGAGAGTCAGGTGTATATTGTGGAAACACAACACCTCAAATATTTTTGCTTTCCACCCTAGAGAGGTGAGACCCATGTTCAGTTTTTCTACATATATCTGTGATTAGTTTAGAAATTCCATAACATCCTTACAAAGTAGAAAATGAACTTGATTGAGTGGTCTTTTTGATATATTTGCACTATAAACATCAAGTTTGTTGTTTATAGTACCTGCCATGCCGGAAGCAAAGCAGGATGCTACATTCATAGATAAAGGTAAATGTTTTGGTCATATACAAAGCTGAGGTTTCTATGACAGCCAGTTATGTATACAAATAATTCCAAGTTACCTTTGCTGATGCAATGTACCTAGAAACAGCTATCTACACTGATATGGCCAAAGTGTCGAATCTGTGTTCTCATTGGTTTTAGGAGTATGGGTTAGGGTAGCCTGTTGAACAGAAAGATTAACAGAATATGAACAAAAGTTCAGAAACTTGGATGCAACATGACATAGAAAAAAAAAAGAAGAGAAAACCTTTTAGGTAAATGCTTTGATACAAAAAATAGTTTTGTCATCTGATCATCAGAATCAGAATCTTCAAAGCTTCTCTGTTCTCTAAGAAAAGTGGTTTCTGTCACATATTGAGGTCCAGCACAGATTTCAGATTTGGCTACCTTCTGAACTGTCCTCTGTTCCCCTGGTCCCTCTCAGATCATAGACTTACTAGTGCCTCTCTCTCTTCCTCTTCTTGCTTCTCTCTCTCTCTCTCTCTCTCTCTCTCTCTCTCTCTCTCTCTCTCTCTCTCCCTCTCCTCCCCCCAAGTTTCTCTCAGTTCTCCCTCTAGACAGAGTTGATTAGAAAGTGTGCTGGACTATGTATCCTTGCCCTTACAGCGCTCCACAATACACCAATGCCTTGTACCTGTAGGCAAGTTCAATAGAACCTTAAATATTTACTAGTTTCTTTGCCTTTTTTGCTTTGTAACTTCTGGCAGCTAAGGTAAGCCAAGCTAGATCACATGGTTTAGAGCTACACAAAATGAAAATTCTGTAAGAATTAGAAAGTCCTTTTGCCCTATTGGAATGGAAAGTGCTGTCCCTTCAAGATCTCTCTCATGCTCACTGATACCATGATCTCTCTCATCATGCTCTTAGTATCCTAGCATAAGACTTTCTCATGGTTGCCTATGGCTATAAGTCAGTAGCTTTCCTAATAGAATTGTTGTGGGAGCTGCAGACATGCCTCATGAGTTAAGAGTCCATATTGTTCTTTCACAGGTCTTCAAGTCAGTTCAAAACACAAGTGGTGGGTAGCACACAATTGCCTCTAACTCCATCTCTAGAGTATTCGATGCTCCCTCCTGGCCTCCAGGGAAGCTGCACTCAGATGCACAAATACCCCTCTCTACTCTCTCCTCGTCTTTTACACACATACATAATTTAAAAATAAAATAAAATTTATACCCCGAAATTCTAGTGAAGGTAATTCACCCACCTTTCTCTGAACTCTGATCCACCCTGGCTGGTACCCATATTTCTTTTACCTTTGTGTTCCAGCATTATGGTCCTGATACCTTGTAGGATCTCTGCAGGTAATACCTCCTCTTTGATATATTTTTTCTCTTCTCAGAACTTTTTGCTTTATTGCTTTCTGTTCTCAGAGTCCATTAAACAGAGTCCTATTTTCCTTCATAATAAGTTCTGGGATAGGTACTGTCAAAGGAAGTATAAGAGGGAGAAAAAAAACATCCTGGAAATAATAAGCCCATTTCATTAAAAATACTTTCAGAAGGCCAAAGCTACACAATACACTATTAGAAATCATCATTTAGATAAAGTATCCAGGCACTCTGCTATAATTTTTAACGTGGATTTTAATAGGAATAGAAAAGGTATGACAAGAGTCATTTTCCATCACAATGATTTTGAGAAGGGAGAAAGATAAGGCCATGTGTCCTGTTCTGATGAAGATTGAACTGATGAACATGAGATTGTTTGAGCTCCAGGCTTCGGGTATGCTTTCTTTCTCCTCTCTGAAGGTGCTAAAGCCTCCAGCCACATAAAGAATAAAAGATACATAGTCAGAATAAAGCATCATAAGAATCAGAGCACCCAGTGTGAGAGAAAATACTGGGTAGCTGAATAGCTATCTCTTACTGCACAGTGATAGAGTTCTCATTTCTTGCTAATGACGTGCAATATCAAATTTCATCTCTTGTCCTTATATACCTGGATTATTTGCTAAAAGCAGGACACCCATATTGAAAATTCTCTATCACATCAATTCTCACTGATTACAACTGTTTGGTAAAACTGTGTGACAGCAATGGAGTGGGAGGAGGGGCTATGAATTATAGGGAGAACAACTTGGGGTGCATGGGAGGAGATGAACAGAGTGAAGAACAGGGAATGGAATGGAAGGGAACATTTCATTATTTATAATATCCTCAAAGAATATGTTTAAAAAGAGTTGTGTTGAAGTGTTTTTATGCTCTCTGGTGATTATGTCTTGATAATGCATAGAAGCAGTGTAAAGAAATGGTTTCTTTAGCCACCAAACATTGACTCAAATTTGTGAGACCAAAGCAGTATTCACAAGCTTCTAGTGCCCACTGCCACTGTCAGCTCTGTACTGTTGTATGGGAAATAGAAAAAGATCTTAGAATTGGGAACTTTCTAATTGGATCTCAAGAGAGCAACAGGAGTGCACTTTAAAAATCTTCAGTCTGGCTAACGGAAGCTATGCATTATTTCTGGTCTTTAAATATAGGAAATAAACACTGACAAAATAAAAACTATTCAAAAATTTTCTGGGGAGATAGCTCAGGAGTTAAGAGTGCTTACTGCTCTTACAGGGGGACCAAGTTCCGTTTTCAGCACCCACATTGAGTGGCTTTCAACTGCCTGTAACTCCAGCTCCAGAGCATCCAATCCCCTCTTCTGGTTTCCACATACACCTGTACAAATGTTGCATATAGTCACACAAGCACACCCATGCACAAAACTAATTTTAAGAAGTATTACTGCTTGGGTGAGTGTTATGTAATGGCACAGGTAGAAGTGAATATTCTATTGTGTTATTGCATTCAGTATACACTGTAACCCTATGGAAAGGTATCCTTAGTGACAGATAGTTGGCTGAAATTAAATAATTTGCTAATTTCAAAGAGATACTTAGAGACCAACTCATAATTTGAATCTATCCTCAAAGATTATAAAACCAGTTACTAAGGATGATTTTGGTTTAATTATCTGAATCACTGACAGGTGATCGTTTTCCTCACAGAACTTAAAACATCTTAACTGTAATGAGGAAGCTGAGTGTTCTGTGTCTGTAAGCTGCATTTTGGATTCCTACCTGACACCCATCCACAAATATAACTATGAGCTAATATGTTAAACAGCAAACCTATATCTTATGTTGGCTTTCTGTTGCTGTGATACTGACCATGCCCAAAAACAACTTAGTAGGAGAAAATGTTGATTTCAGCTTATAGACCAGAGAACATCACCGAAGGGCTCCAGGGCAAAAAATCAAGACAGGAATCTAGAGGCACGAAACAATGCAGAGGCTACCACTTAGGAATATGACTTACTGGCCTGCTTTCTGGCTCACATTAAACTTCTTTCCTTATACAGCCTAGGCACACCTGCCTATTGATTGTACTGCCTATATTAATTAGCCAGCAAGAAAATATCCCAGATCATGCTCACTGGACAATCCAATGGAGAAGAAAATGTCAATTAATGTTCCCTATTCCCAGGTGTTTCAACATTACCAACAGGTTAGCAATTGCAGCAGACCTCACAGGTCCACAATATGAAAGAACACCACAACTTTCCCTGGACATTAGTAATAGTGAATGCAAGTCGGGTCCTTCTGCAGACTGAATGAAAATCCATTTTCTTCAATTCCCTAGATTCTGGACCTCATGTCATTTGTAATGCATGTCTCCAACCACTTTTGTTTTTATAACACACACACACACACACACACACACACACACACACAGCCTTTGGATCCCCTTGCCTCTCATGTAGACTGATATAAGAACATTCGGCCAACTCATGTTATACAAAAATTTCTCTCCATGTATAGCCTTAAACTATGCCACGTCATAAAGACCACAATACAACAGAAATGTTAGAACCATTATTCTTCCAATTACAAGCTCTGATTCCCCTCTCTGATACCTGGTCCTGTCATAAAATCTTGCGATTGGTAATCATAGGAAGCGCTGTGCTTTAGACATTCCTTTGTCCTAGTTATGATGTTATACTATTTGTCATGGTACCACATTAACCCAAACATTTGTTCTGTGTCACTGGATCCTTATTGTGGGTTTGTCCTTGGTATTTTATGTTTGTTTCTCTAATTGTGTGTCTTCTACATCCTTATTTCCTTGAGAAATTGTTTCATTTCATATCAGCTTTCTATAAATTAGAAATAATAAACACAAGAAATATTTTAAATTCATTCAGTGAAGAAATGCACATTAGGTGAATTATTTTGCTTACTTATTACGATGTATCATTTTTAAATTGCTATTTTTGATGTCATTCTTTTTTGACTAAAATGTAATCTTAAGTGGAAACCAAAATAACAATTGCTATCATGAGTATTACAGTCACAGTTAGCAGCAGTAATATTTTTAAAAGTTTCTCTCTGAAAATTAATGAATAGATTCTTTGTTACTTAGAAGGAGAAGAGCTTAGAAAACAAGACTTCTGAAAGATCAAGAATAAAGTCAAAGGAAGAGACAGGTCATCTTTCTACATTCTGTAATCATGGTGCACACTCTGTAGAGACGATCTACCATGAGCCAAAGAAGACATTACAGATCATCTTACTGCTGCTTAATTCTGATGTTTTCTTGTCTTCTTCAGGTAGTGCTGGAACCCCAGTGATGTTTAACAAAAATGGGGATGCTCCAGGGCGTTATGACATCTTCCAATACCAGACAACAAACACTACCAATCCTGGTTATCGTCTCATTGGGCAGTGGACAGATGAACTTCAGCTCAATGTAAGTCCTGATTGATCCTTTTCTTCCCTGGTATGATAAGCATTTGCGTATTAATTTTCTAATTAGATGAGTGTTTCCTGTTATTGTGCTTTTCCACATGCAGAACTGAACGTGCAATTTGGTCCAGGCTTTATGAAGAGCTGACAACCATCCGTCCAATAAACTGTAATAATGATGATAGTAATGACAGAATTGTGTGCACTATGTTTTTATTTCCTTTTACATATATTTATTAAGATGGTTACGGGAATATATGCATATGGAGGTCAGATGACAATTTGCAGGAGTCAGCTCTCTTTCACTATGTAGGTTTCTAAGATCAAACTCAAGTCTTCAAAGGTGACAGCAAATGCCTTTACCTGCTGAGCCGTCGTGAGGGGCTGACATTGACTTTGTAACCTAGTCTTCAATTCTGTGAAATCCTTCATTTAATCTGACTCAAATTCCTAATGAGTTACCTGATAACAACTTTAAAGATTCTTTGTGAATGGAACTATTACCTCTTCCTTTCTCATTTGATAGTAATAAGTTTTTAAAAAAAATGATTTCAATGCCAAATGATTTCACAAATTATTACCTTATATTAGCATTTTGTGTGATCTCTCCATCTTTCTATAAAATGAGACACTGAATGAGCAGCTTCTTCCTTGTACAGGATCATGTCAATGTCCCAGTTAAAGACAGAGAGCCTTCAGTCTTATCCCATCATTATGTCCACTTTGGTTCTTGAATGGGTTGACTGAAACACTTGCAAATTTGGGTTAAGGTAGTCTATATGCAGGACCATCTGCTTTCCTCAGTCTCTGACATAGATATTGAATTTATCTAGAAATAGCTTTATAGGTAATGCAAAACCATATTTTGCTGAACATCTGAGTGTCCAGTAGTCCAGTACTGTTGACTCATAAAGTTTATCATCATGCTCACTCTCTCATTCAGTCCTTTTTGTATCTCACCAAAAGGGAGGAAACTATGCCCGTGGCTGTTGCAGTTATTCTTTAAAATTGGCGTCACCCAATCTGGCTTGTGTTACAGAGCCGCTATGTTCCTGACTAGGCTAGGTCTGAGGTCACGAGAAGTGGCATGTTTTTGGTGCTGCTGTGGGTCAAGCCGCCAGCTCAGGTGGCTACAGACACAGGCCCTGCCACCCATGAAATGCCAGCATAGTAGATGGCTTTGCCAATCTTCCACGCTGTCTCCACAAGGCTGGGCTGAGTTCGGACCATCCTGCCATCAACACAGACCCAGTTTAAATGAGACTCTAGTTTTATGTGGAGGTCCTTTATCCACTTAGACTTGAGCTTTGTACATAGAGATAAGAATGGATAAATTTTCATTCTTCTACATGTTGTCCTCCAGTTGAACCAGCACCATTTGTTGAAAATGCTGTCCTTTTTCCACTGGACAGTTTTAGCTCCTTTGTCAAAGTTCAAGTGACCATAGGAGTGTGTGTTCATTTCTGGGTCTTCAATTCTATTCCATTGATCTTCTTGCCTGTCTAATATTTAGATTATCCAAAGGCTTTATAAGTTTGATAATGTTTAATAACAAGATGCCCACACAACTCAAGGTGTTTCCCAATTAACTAACCAAGATATAAGTTGTTACCCAAGACTGCTCTTGGTACATGCGTGGTCATCCTTGTCCCTCTCTCCTCCTCCTCTTCCTCTTCTTCTTCTCCTTACTCCTCACACCTTAGCTCCTCCTGCACATGGCCTCCCTTAGTCTGTATCTCAATGAGGCACTGCAGGAATGAATGAAATAGAGGAGGACACACACAAGGTCATGAGTACCACAAATATGATCATGATACAGAGTCAAGGCTGAAGTATGTAGGAAACTCACAGTCAGAGACAAAGAGAAGAAATGAATTGAAGTAACTGTAGAGTGTGTTTAACAGCTTTGAAAAATAATAAAAATAAAAGAGTGCTGTGTATAGAGAAATTGATGAAAGCACCACTGGCTGTTATCTAACTCACACATTGACCTTTGTTGAGTTCACTTACACTTGGATGCTCTCCGTCTTTAAGAACTGCTATCCAAATGCCTATGATTTAGTGTCTAAGAATAATGGTGCCAGTTAGCATATGCCAACCAAGATTAAGGACAAAAGCCAGAGGCAGCTGAAATTGTGCTAAATCTAAGACACAATAAACTTATATACAAAAATAAAATAGATAAGGAAAAGCAAAAACAAACTCTCAGAAGGTATATCAACAATTTACCTTCAAAATTTGATCAAAAGTTAGAATCAAATTTAGAGTTTGGAAAATTGATGCAAGAGGGGAGCTAGTCTGAGGCTATTCTGAGCTGTAATAATCAGACTCTTGTCTCAGAGATCTAAATAATGAAAGAAGAAAAAGAAGAAGGAGGAGGAGGAGGAGGAGGAGGAGGAGGAGGAGGAGGAGGAGAAGAAGGAGAAGGAGAAGGAGAAGGAGAAGGAGAAGGAGAAGGAGAAG